CTTGGCTGAATTTGGATATTTCAAAGAGATGGCTGACAGCAATGCTGCACAATAGCTCACATCCTGCAATGGGAATCTGTTGATAATAACCCTAATGAACTGAATAACCATTTCTGTGAACTTCACTGCATCTAATCTTTAAGGATTGATTGTTTGGGGAGGTAGACAACATGAAACTCAAACATACCTGCCTGTCCTTGCTAAGTGCAATGGATTGAATGTTTGTGTCCTCCCAAAATTCACATGTTGAAACCTAATCCCCAGTGTGATAGTACTGGAAGGTGGAACCTCTGGGAAGTGAATAGTACATGACCACAGAGCCCTCTTTAATGGGTTTACTGCCCTTATAAAAGAGGCCACAGAGAGTTGCTTTTCCCTTTCACCATGTGAAGTTATGGCAAAAAAAAAAGATAAAGGCAGCTGTCTATAAACCAGGAAGCAGGTCCTCACTCAGACACCAAATATGCCAACACCTAGATCTTAGACTTTCCTGCCTCCAGAACTGTGAGAAATAAACCTCTGTTATTTATAAGCCATACTGTCTATGGTTATAGTAGACTGAGTGGACTAAATCAGAAAACTGGTACCAAGCTGGGCACAGTGGCACACACCTGTAATTCCAGCAGCTTGGGAGGCTGAGGCAGGAGGAATGTGAGTTCAAAGTCAGCCTCAGCAATTTAGTGAGACCCTAAGCAACTTAATGAGACCCTGTCTCATAATAAAATAAAATAAAATAAAATAAACCCCAGTACCTCCCCACTCCCGCTCTGCCATGGATATTTGGCTGAGGAGGAACTATCTAAAGGAGCAGGCTGGTTCTTCTTAATTGCTTATAGTAAAATGCAAGGAAGAGAAATGATTTAAAAAGATGGAACTGTAGCATTTGCTTTGGCAGCATATACACTAAAATTGGAACAATAGATAGTATTATTCATCAAAGGGAAGCAGAATGTAAAGAGAAATTTGTCACAAATTCAGCCTATCCATATTGAAGAAAAATGAGAAAGTTTGTTTGGAAAGAACATTAAGGTTGGGGCTGGGATTGTGGCTCAGCGGTAGAGCACTTGCTTATTAGCATGTGCGAGGCACTGGGTTCGATCCTCAGCACCACATAAAAATAAATAAAATAAAGGTATTGTATCCAACTACAACTAAACAAAAAATACACACACATACATATATATTTTAAAAAAGAACATTAAGGGGCTGGGGATGTGGCTCAAGTGGTAGCGCGCTTGCCTAGCATGCACATGGCACTGGGTTCAATCCTCGGCACCACATACAAATAAAGATGCTGTACAGCCGAAAACTAAAAAATAAATATTAAAAATTCTCTCTCTCTCTCTGTCTCTTTCTAAAAAAAAAAAAAAAAAAGAACATTAAGGTTGTGGCCAGAAACCATATCATAAGGAGACTAATATGGATGAACAATCTCATAATAAAAAAAAATAAAAAGGATTGGGTACTATTTTCCAACAAAAAGGAAAAATAACTCCAAAGGCAATTCAGAAATCATTAGGGTTACCCTTTTTCATCACAACCCTAGGGCTCTGGGGATAGAGCAGTTTTCCAAAGAGGGGCCTATGGGACCTCATCCTGCTCAGTGCTCCTTATTTTGCAGTCATCCTGGGTGCAGTTCCAGCAAGCCTTGCTGTAGCACTTAGCAAATCTATACAGGTGTGGTTGCTTCTACATAGATTTCAAAGGACAGAGCCTCTCAGCAGAATTGTATGCTCAGGAACCAAGCCTATGGGCCCTAAGCAGAGGAAAGAGACACACAGCCACCACTAGGACAGGATCACCCAAAGCCATAAGCATTAGGGCCACTGGAGGCCCTGGGAGTCTGGCAAAGCTTCAGGAGCAGGACCCACCATCCCAGTGGGTCAGGAAAATTGGAACCTCTGTCCTAGTTGGTTAGAAAGCTAAGACCCCAGCTAAACTGTGTCCAAAAGGCATGACTTGTGCCCCAGCAGACTTGTAGAGTATCAAGAGTATTATTCTCAAGCATTAGGAATACTAATGGAATATAACTGGTTGGATCTTGAGATTCAAATTCTAATGGAATTTGACCTGTTGAGTTTTAGGCTTGCTTGGGGACTTATCACTCCTTTCTTCCTCCTTTTGGAATGGGAATGCCTATCCTGTGTCTGTCAGACTGTTATATTCAGGAGCACATAACTCATTTGGTTTCATAGGTTCAAAATTGAAGAGAAATTTGTCACAAGATGACCTATACCTTGAGTTTCACTCATGTCTGAATTATTTAGATGAGGCACTGAATTTGGACTTTTAAGCTGATGCTGAAATGAGTTAAAACTGTGGAGAATACTGGGATGAAATGAATATATTCTGTATGCAAGGACATGAATTTAGAGGGCCAGAGGCAGAATACATAACTTATCTTGGTCTAATCCACTGAGTCTTGATATCTAATTTTGGCAATTGTGAAATTATAGAAGGCTAAGCTATTAAACTACATGCTTAGGGCCGGGGTTGTGGCTCAGCGGTAGAGTGCTCACCTAGCACGTGTGAGGCCCTGGATTCAATCCCCAACACTACATAAAAATAAATAAAATAAAGGTATTGTGTCCAACTACAACTAAAAAACAAAAACAAAAAAAAAAATGCTTCAAAAAATTTATTCCCAGAATCTTTACTATCAAATCAAAACACAGTTATAACCAGAGACACAGCCAAGCGCAGTGGTGCACGCCTGTAATCCCAGTGGCTCGGGAGGCTGAGGCAGGAGGATCTTGAGTTCAAAGTCAGCCCCAGCAAAAGCGAGGTGCTAAGCAACTCAGTGAGACCCTGTCTCTAAATAAATACAAAATAGGGCTGGGGATGTGGCTCAGTGGTAAAGTTCCCCCCACAAAAAAAAATTACAACCAGAGGCATGCTAACCATTTATGGCATTACCACCTTTGTATGAATCTAACTTTGAAGATGCCTATTGGGTCTAAATGCATGTTAAAAAAATGAGATCCAATATTTTCAAAGTTTTTTTAAAATTTATTTTTTAGCTGTAGTTGGGCACAATACCTTTATTTCACTTATTTATTTTTATGTGGTGCTGAGGATCGAACCCAGGGTCTCACACGTGTGAGGGGAGTGCTCTACCACTGAGCCAAAACCCCAGCACCACAAGTTGTTTTTTTTTTTTTAATTTTTTTAGTTGTAGGTAGACACAATACCTTTATTTTATTTATTTATTTTCATGTAGTGCTGAGGATCAAACCCAGTGCCTCACATATGCTAGGCAAGCACTCTGCCACTGAGCTACAACCCCTGCCCTTCCCAAGTTTTATCTAAGTTTGTTTGTTTTTTTTCCTTACATGCAGAAAATAGTCTTTATTTTGCCCTTGGAGTTAACTGTTACCTAGACTGGATACATTAAACTACTTCAAAATAACTTTATTTTAAAACTATGAAGACATTGCACTCCACTGTTTAGATTACAGTTTTGTTGGCATGAATATGCTGCCCTTTTTTTCTTTCTGGAAGATTTTTGGACTTAATAATTTTTTTAGTGGTTAGCAGACTTTTCTTCCTTTGATTATTAAAAAAAAAAAAAAAAAAATTGGGGGGGGTACTGGGGATCAAACCCAGGGCTTTACATATTCTAAGCAAGCACTCTGCTGCTGAGCTACATCCCTAGGCCCCTAAAATTATTTATTTTCAAACAGGGTCTCATGAAGTTTCCCAGACTGGCCTTGAATTTGTGATCCTCCAATTGGAGCCTTTTAAGTAGTAGGGATTATAGGTGTATTCTACCATGCCCAGCATATTTTTTAAATCCTTAAGAGGAAAACAAAGCAATATGTAGTTAAAGTCTCTTAACTGATTTCTACTAAGTGATATGCTGAATTAATTGAGCCATTATAGTTTTTCTGTAAACAGATTGGATTTTCTATCTTAGCCCATTTGTGCTGCTGTAATAGAATACCAGAGACTGGTTTTACATGAAGAAAAGAAATATGTTTCTCATAGTTCTAGAGGCTGAGGAAGTCTAAGGTTGAGGGGCCAGCATTTAGTGAGGGCCATCATGGGCTGCATCATTCCATGGTAAAAGGTTGAAGGGAAGAGAGGGTGAGAAAAGTGGGAGCCAAATGGGCTTTTATAACAAATTCACTCTCCTGATAACCATAGAAAGCAGACTATGCCCTGCTCTGACTTACTCCATAGTGAATATCACAATAGTTTTTCAGGTTGTAATCCTGAGTTATGTCATAAGTTACTTCATTTTGAATGTAAGTACGGAGGTAGAATGTCTCTCCACCTCTTTTGTATACAATCATCATTCCCTAGCACAATCATGAGACAAACTAATAAATTAATCATGGTAATAAAAATGAAGTTATTGAATTAAATTATATATATATGGATGCATGGGCATATCAACACCATGTCAGAAAAACTAGAACCATGAGCTTATCAAATATATCAGACCACCAAAAGAAGCAAACCACTCACCTGAGACCCATTAAAAGAGGAGCCCCCACCCCAAGACTGGTCAGTGGCACACTGACCCTGTCACTTGGTAACTCATCATGATTCTTGCCCAGGAAAATTGTCACATCAATGAACCTCCAATACTTTATCCTCAGGCTTCAGCTCAGCCTGGTTTCTCCTGCCCATGACAATGATGCATGGTCCATTTCAAACTGACACTTTGAGATAGTCACCTACCCAGACCCTGGCCTAAAATAAGTTCTGCAATTTTGAAAATTCTACACTGTGAACAAGTTCTTTGGTCGGTTCATGATATTATCTGACCTCCAGCTATGACTCTTGCCATTGTATTTGTTCTTTGCCTTTGCTCTTAGTTTAGCCTCCTGAATCCCTGTGGCTACTATAATCCTTTCTGTATTTGCCAAGAGTTATTCTTCATATTGTATCACTTGATCTTATAATCATATGCATAAATAATTTTGCTACAAATATTTCTATATATGAAATCCTTATTGTGATTTAATATAACCACAAAAAGCTAAAGATAATACCTTGGGATGAGAGAAGATGTTGCTCTTGATACTTCTCTTGAGGGAGTCCCAAGTAGGTGAGAACAACATACTTTGTTTCATAGTGAAATCCTAGAGGCATGGTAGTTGAGGACGCCATTGGATTGGCCAACAGAGCTCCTAAGAGGTCTACTTGCAGGTGTGTAAAACCTAAAAACATAAAAGGGTTTCAGTTTAAAGTTTATTACATGCCAATACGTTTTCTCATTGATTCTGATTGCGCAAATATCAAACTAAAAGTTGTCTCAGACATTTCTTTCCAGAAACCTTTAAAAATGTTAACTGTTTGTAATGCCTACCTGTAATCCCAGCTGCTTCGGAGGCCAGCCTGGGTAGCTTAGAGAGACCCTATCTAAAAATAAAAATTTTCAAAAGGGTTAGGGATGTAGCTCAGTGGCACTACACTTGCCTGGCATGTATAAGGCCAAAGGTTCCAGTTCCATCCCCACTATAGGAAAAAAAAAAGAAAGAAAGAAAGAAATGAAGTGCTTAATTTACATAAAATGGTGATATAGCTAGTTGCTAGAGTGCTTGCCTTGCATGCACAAGGCCCTGGGTTCAATCCCCAGCACCACAGAAAAAAAAAAAAAGGCATTCCCCCATCCACCCAGTACTGAGGTTAGTACTAGCAATCCACCTAAGTAACAAATAATCTCTAGATAATCTAGGTAACCCCAACACACACACACACACACACACACAATGTTCCTCTTATATAATAAAGACTTCTTTTGGGCTGGGGTTGTGGCTCAGTGGTAGAGCACTCGCCTAGCAAGTGTGAGGCCCTGGGTTTGATCCTCAGTACCACATAAAAATAAATAAAATTAAAGTAATGTGCCCAAATACAAACAAATGCTAGACAGGCACTCTATTACTGAGCTGCATCCCCAGTCCAGGTCTCCTAAAATTTTTTTTTTTTTTTTTTGCGGATACAACATCTTTTGTTTGTATGTGGTGCTGAGGATCGAACCAGGGCCGCACGCATGCCAGGCGAGCGCGCTACTGCTTAAGCCACATCCCCAGCCCTAAAATTTTTTTTTTTTGTACTGGGGATTGAATTCAGGGACACTTGACCACTGAGCCACATCCCCAGCCCTATTTTGTATTTTATTTAGAAACAGGGTCTCACTGAGTTGCTTAGCGCCTTGCTGTTGCTGAGGCTGGCTTTGAACTCTCAATCCTCCTGCCTCAGCCCCCAGAGCCCCTGGGATTACAAGTGTGCACCTCCTGAATTTTTACGTAGCCCCAAGGCCACAGAGTTACAGACCACATGTACCAGTCTTCTCTGTAGTTTAATGTACTATAAGCCTGAACCAGAGAATGAGAAGTTACAAGTGTAACTGTAGGTCTCTCCTTTAAGACTGAGGATTTTATTCTGTGATTTAGAACCTGAACATGGCAGTGACCTAGCTTTGATATTCAAATAAGGATACCACTCTAGGGATGAGTAAAGCAACCAGAAGCAACTTGGGTCCCTGAATGATCATGTGAACCTGAATCTCTTGGAACACTTACCACTAGACGTTATGTAAACCATTTTAATCTGAATCACTTCACTAGGCATCCTAATTTGTACCATAATCAATATAATCACAACTCTTACTTTATCATATGGACCTGGCAGCTATCAAATACTTGAATAGTTTCATGCTGGGTGTGGTGCGGGATGCCTACAATTCCAACAACTTGGGAAGCTGAGACAAGAGGATCAAAAGTTTGAGGTCAGCCTCAGCAACTCAGCGAGACCCTCAGCAACTTAGTGAGACCTTGTCTCAAAATTAAAAATAAAAAAAGCTGAGGATGTAGCTCTATGGTAAAGGGTCCCTGGGTTCAATCCCCAGTAACAAAAATATAAATCATATTTCACACCATATATAAATCACATTGTGGCATTCTTAAGTTTCCCGAACAACTTTGCTTTCTTTTCTAAACTAACAAACACAGACTGATTTAGGTCTCAAAAACTATAAACCTCCCTTATCCACAAGTATTACATTCCAAAACTCTCCAGAGATACCAAAAACCACAGGTAGTACCAAATCCTATATACACTACTTCATTCTTACTGTATATAAATCTTAGCAATCTCAGTATATGATTGTTTTTCCTTTCCATATTGAAACCTTTTACTTTTCACTTAAATTCATGGCTTCTCTTTGCCAGAATCATTACTCTTGCACTTGGAGTCATTTTTAAGTAAAACAAGGTTAACCTTAATGCAAGCAATGTGATAGGGAGATAACTGGTCTGATAACCAAGAAGGCTAATAAATGACTTGCAAATAGGGCAATAAATACAAAGTCTGGTCAGATTCTTCTTGGCCTCTCTGTGCAGCATTCCTTCTTCCTGGGTACAGGACAAGAAAAACATTTATCTGTTTATTATAAAGGCTATTACAAAGGATACAGACAAAGAGATGCACTGGTCACAACGGGATAATTAACTTCCTGAGCAGGATAGAGTAGGATGTGTTGAGATTTCATTTGATATTTTTGGACTGCAGCTGACCACAGGTAAGTGGAGCTATCAAAAGCAAAGCTGTATGTAAGAGGGGACAAATGCATCCAGTAAAAGAGGTTCAGTTAATTATCAATAGGGGAAAATAGGCAATGTTAACAAATTTAAGGTCTAAGGCAGTTCTCAATTGTAACATACTACTTTCATGTGACGATTAGTATGCTAGATTTTTAGTTTGTTCTTTATTTATTTTGTGATAGTATTGAATGCTGGGGTTGCTCTACTACTGAGCTACATCCCCAGCCCCCCCCACCTTTTTTTAGACAGGGTCTTGCTAAATTGCCTAGGCTACCCTTGCACTTGTGATCCTTCTGTCAGTCTCCTGAGTTGCTAGAATTACAGGTTTGCACCACCAAGCCCAGCAGGACAATAGTTTAAAAAAGGATACTGAATACTCTGTTTGGGGGAAAAAAAAAAAAAACACAACTAAGTATCTTGATTGTTTTTCCTCTACTTATCTATCAACCAAGACTTCCGACACTAGATATATGGGGGGGTTCCACACACACACAAGCCAGCATTCAATTCTCCAGCAGCAGATACAGCTGAGTGTCCTCTAATCTAATTCAGTTCTGACACAATCTGGAGATAGTATCAGATCCCATAGTTTGAAGACTCAAGTCTTAAAACTGTTGTCCCTCACACTCCCTCACTTTAGAGGCCAGTCCAAAGGCCTACGTTGTTCCACAGGTGCTTTTGACCAATCGTCTATATAATCAGGGTTCCCACAACCTCCTCCTTGTGTTCAATTAATTTTCTCAAGTGGCTTACAGAACTCAGGGAAAAACATTTATCTGTTTATTATAAAGGCTAAGAATACAGACAAAGAAATGCACTGGACAAAGAATGAGAGAACAGGCTCGGAACTTACATTCCTTCTCCAAGTGCCCCCACTTTCCTGGAATCTCCATATGTTCAGCTATCGAGATGTTCTCAAAACCCTATCCTTTCAGGTTTCTATGAAGACTTCATGGCAAGGCATGATTGAACCACAGTTAACTATGCAGAAATGTAATTGGACAAAAAGGTTATGATCTAATGCTTATAGACAGACTGGGTGTAGAAACCAGACAAGGTGTGTCTGGTCAAATTCTTCTTGATCTCTCTGTGCAGCATTCCTTCTGCCTGGGTACAGGACAAGAATTTTTTTTTTTTTTTTTTAGTTGTAGATGGATACAATACCTTTATTTTACTTATTTTTATGTGGTGCTGGGGATTGAACCCAGGGCTTCATGCATGCTAGGCAGGCGCTCAACCACTAAGCCACAACCCCAGCCCAGGACAAGAATCTTCTGGAGGGAGGATGGATCTATCTGTCAAAGGCAGGTCAAATAATTTCTTTATTGTCAGCTCAAAGACAGAAAGGCAAGGAAAAGGAAAAGGAAAAGTTTCTATGATCCTCTTTGAGGAGGAAGTTATGAGCCAGGAATCAAAATAAATGAACAAATATGTAAACATATATGTATATATCACAAATATACAGTTATATAATTGGAAAAGGAAAATCACCTATTGTTTTCAGATTACAAAATAAAAAAAAGCAAAATTCGGGCTGGGGATATAGCTCAGTTGGTAGAGTGCTTGACTCGCATGCACAGGCCCTAGGTTCAATCCCCAGCACCACAAAAATAAATTATAATAAATAAATTTTTTTAAAAAAGCAATGTTCACTTAAATCTTCAATCTTCTTTGTAGCAACCATTCTCAGTGCTGGTGCAGAAGAGAATCATGCCCCAACACTAATCCACCAACACCTATAAGAGCCAGAGAAACTGTTATTTATCTCCTTTCAATAAAGGAGAGAAGGGATGCAAAACAGATTGAGAAATACTGGTATAATTTTTAAGGGAAATATTTTTAGAATTCAGGACAAAACTAACATTTAAAGAGTGGCCAAATGATGAAAAGCTGGCAGCGAAAACCCCTTAGCACAATACAAGAATAGTCAAAAAGGTAGAAAATAAACCAGGAATGAGTATGATCACAAAAGTCAGGGAGGCACTTCAATAAGAAGATAGTAAACAAATGTGTCAAATATACAACTTCCAAGAAAATGAAAATGGGAGAGTCACTGCATGTGGACATTTGGTCATCCATGATCTTTGACAGTTTTGTTTGACTGGCAGGAGCAACGATAGAAGGCAGGGACTTGAAAATGGTGCACACCTGTAGTCTCAGCTACTCAGGAGGCTGAGGCAGGAGTATCAGGAATTCGAGACCACCCTGGGCAACTTAGCAAGACAATGTCTAGAAAGAAAGGAATAAAGGTTGAAAGGAAGAAAGGAAGGAAGAAACTAAGAAAATTAATGTAAAAAATAAAGGCAGGGCCAGGCACAGCGGCGCCTATCTGTAATCCTAGCAGTTCCAGAGGCTGAGGCAGAAAGATGGCAAGTTCAAAGCCAGCCTCAGCAAAAGCGAGGCGCTAAGCAACTCAGTGAGACCCTATCTCTAAATAAAATTACAAATTTGGGTTGGAGATGTGGCTCAGTGACAGAGTGCCCCTGAGTTCAATCCCCAGTACAAAAATAAATAAATAAATAACAAAAGGCAAGGATTTGAAGAATAAATGGGAAGTGAAGAGGTACATAAAGTAAGTTTTCATCTATTCTTTCAAAGAATAGCTTGGTTTGAAA